TGATGGAAATTGGAGAGTGATGGACCTTGACTGAGTTTGATCGTGAACATTTTCTGCTTAGACTAAGATTAGATAATCAGCTTGATTGCTCAATACTTTTCAAAAAGATAAATTTGTAATTAATTAGTATGTGTCATCTGTTTATTTTGGGATATCGGGGTGGGGGTGGGGGGCTCAGCCTCACTGTTGGTTTGTTTATATTTGTGCGAGTACTGAATTACTTGTGTAGCGTGTGCCTATAATTACTCGTGTCTCATTGCAAGCCCTGTTAATGTAGATGTAAATAATACTATAATTTTTTTTATCATCTTGTGTTGCCAGGTGTAACAAACTGTATAATCAAACAGTAGTGTTGTAAAATTTACATAAGATAAGGCACATAGAATTTGGCCACCTTCCAGGAATAGCATTTAGTTAGAAATAACAAAATTGTCCGCAAGGTTTGATGATGTATGTGTATGCAGTCATTGTTTTTTAAGGCGCTCGATCAAGCCCAAAATCGGACCAGGGAAAATTTTTTATCACTCAGCTTGCATTTAAAAACAACCTGCCATAATTTCCACATTGACAAGTGGCTAAAAGTTACTGTGTAATTATATGCCCACATTTTCATGTGAGAAACTTCTAATTAATAGAAACCAGTAACACAAACCAATTACAGACGGTTTGATGTGATCAATTTTAACTAAGTTTAAAATGATGCAATTCATATTCAGATAAGTTGATATACAATAATTAATAGAATACAATATAAAAAAAAACATCATTTCATCCAACGTTTTGTTAGTAAAAATACTAGCTTCTTCGATGCTGAACTAAATATGTATATTGTCGTCGCCCCTGTCCGTTACGACATCCGGATGTCCACAATTTGTTTGTGGACGCTCTACACGTCGCAATTATTATCCGATTTTGTCGACACTTGATATATAGGTTTATCTCTAACAGATCTCAGTTCCTTTCGATATTGACATGTATTGAACTGTAACTTCATGGATTATGACCCCTGATTGTACGAAAAAATCATGTTTTTAGCTTGTGGACAGTCTAGAGGTCACAATTTTTATCCAATTTGATTGTGGTATCCCTAGAGGTCATAATTTTTTATTGGATTAAAAAAAAAACCCTTCTCATATATCACTGTTACACTGTAACGATGATTAAATAATTTGAATTTCGTGAATGGCTGTTCCCTGTACACAAATAGTGTAAAAGTATGTAATACCTATGTTGTGGAACCTCTAAAGGTCACAATTTTTATCTGATTTTGATAAAACTTAAACGTGTGTACATGTATGTCCCAAAGATCTCGACTTATTTCGATATTTGCGCATATTGGACCGTAAGTTCCTGTATTATGACCCTTGATTGTATGAAAAAATCGCGATTTTAGCTATAGCTATATCTGACAATTTTTATCCGATTTTAAAAATTGTTTAAATATATCAGAACAAAACTGCTCGACAAAATGGCCGCTCCTTGTATGCAAATAGTGTAAAAGTATGTAATATCATGGTTGTGCACCCTCTTGAGGTCAGGTTTTTTTATCTGGTTTGATGAAACTTAAATTATATCTTTATATCCCAGAGATTTCAATTCCTTTTGATATTCGTGCATATCCGACCATAACATCCTGGTATGTCCCCTGATTTTCTGATACCGGCATTAAATGCTAATATTTAAGACCATCCACTGATGAAATACGAATGTTTCATCAAATAAGTAAGACAGTAATTTATTCAGGAATATTACTGACGTGAACTTCAAGCTGGTACGTGAATTAAATATAGAAAATTTTCAAAAGTTGTACCTGTTTGTCGTTATTTTTGTGGTAATCACATACAACATTCTCCATAACAAATTACCAAAAATTTCTTTGTTAAAGTCTGGTTATATTAAAGGGAATGGAAGCTTATAATTATCCCTTTTCCTTACCGGGACCTGATTTGACCCAATTCTCTCCGGTTTGTTTCAAAATGGATTGAGAACCCTGGGTTAAATTGGGGGCTGTAATAGGTCTGACTTACGTGTATGTCCTCTGACCAAATTTTATCTCAGAATTAAAACTTGGCACACTGTCTTAAGGTTAAACTAAGCAATTGTTATCTAAATGAATAATTTGATATTCTGTAAACATTGTTTCTTTCGATATGTGAGAATATTCAGATTAAACTTGTCGTACCAAAATAGTTCATCTGAGAAAGTAAATACTCTCAGAGAACTACATAAATAGCCAAGTTGATGGCACCAAGTTGATAGTGTTCGCTTAAACCTTAAGTCTGGACGAGCCAATTAGTAAATGAATATGGTAGTATAAGAAAGGTTATAAGAATAAAAGCTAGTTATAATGCAGAGTGATCAATACTAAGTGTTCAGCTGATCGGTCAGACTACTGTCTGTGGACAGAACACTTATAAAATATCAGACTATCTGAGAATTGTTTGTGTAAAATAAAGCAAATTCAAGTGAAAAACCTATAAAGAAATGTTCTTTGTTCTGGTCTGGTTAGATAATATTGATAACAAATGTTAGTATTTAATGGTGTGACAGCTTGTGTTATTATTAACATATTTTTACACACTTAACTATTCATATTAACTGTATAGTAAATTTAATTCTTGTTTCAGTATTATTATCTGGAAGATATTTCTGACCTTTATTAAGAATTCTTAGTTCATATTTGCAATTTCTTACTTATTCAGTACAACTAAATATCTAAATTTGTGCACTAAAATTGACTCTTTTTGTCCCCCGTCTTTCGAAGAAAACCTTGATTCTAATTGAATGAAAGTGGTAAAACCTTGTGTATAGTTTCATTACATTAATACCTTAATGGTCGATGCTGAACATTTTCTGCTTAGGCAAAGTAGAGACTTCAATCGGATTGGTTGAGATTTTAAAACACAATAACTCTCCTTCTAATTGTAGGTGTAGGTGCTTTTTAGGTGAGTTCGATCATGCACATTTTTCACTAGGGCTAAGCAGAGGTAAGCAATTTGATTGGTTGAGATTTTGGAACACGGTAACTTTGGTTCTAATTGAGTGAGAGTGATGAAACTCTGGGTATAGATTTATTATATCAATATTTTGACTAAGTTTGATGATGAGAATTTTCTGCTTAGGCTAAGTAGTGATAAGCTATTTGATTGGTCAAGACTTTGAAACATAACAACTCTGCTTTTAATTGAGGTAGAATGGTTAAACTTGATGTAGATGTTCATTCAGGGGTGTAAAAATCCACTAGCCTGATGCCCAGGGCTACCAAAAATACCTTATGGGCTAGTGACCTATTTAGCCGTGCTAGTCCTGGACTAGTGTCTTTTCACTGCTAATTTTTTATAGTTTGTAAATTAAACTAGTTATTTTGATAAATAAACTAAAATATCCTGCTTTTATCTACTCCAATTCAAGCTAATACACACCAGTTTGACAGTTTCGTGGCTGAAATTGCACTTGCACGCTAGTTCTCGTTGCTTTCTACATCGCTATTAGAAGTTTTTTGGGGCAGGAATAAATGTGTCACGTGGGCAAATAACACTAACATGGAGACCATACCTGTATTGCATACAGGTGTCACTGTAATATTAAAATACCGTTTTATAAAGAAGACAATGTTTCGACATCACAAACTATGCTTTCCTTTTCTGCTGTATAAACAAACAATATTTCGACATCACGAACTATGCTTTCATTTTCTGATGTATAAACAAATACACACAATTTTGGAGTAATATTACTGACGTCGATTTGAAGCAGGTACGGGTCGGTCACTTTCATTCTACCGTGTTACAAAAAAACGAAATATTGTTAACATAAATTTGAATATCGTTTGTCAAATAAATATGAAAAATAGCGAGGTGCATATATTTTTTTTTGTATTCAGAACACATGCAACATAACATAAAAATATTTGTAGTTGAAGTTGATTAGAGGGAATGGAAGCTTATTGTCGTTATTTCCTGAAGCTGACAAACGACTTCTTGCGACCTAATTTTGCCTATATTAACCCCAAATAAAAATGTCTGACGGGCTAAATTATAACATCCCTGATGTTCATGTACTATGGCTGTGTATAAGGGAGGAGAATTTTGTGCAGACTTCATAATTCACACCTACTCTTCTTCAATTATTCCATTTATCAAGTTCTATTTACATGTAGACTAATATTAAGGCTTAAATCTTATCCAACTAAGGACTAGTGGAAATTAATGCCAGGTTAGTGTCTGACAGTAGACTACTAGCCCTGGGCTAGTGGATTCAAATTTTTTTTTACACCCTTTGAATGTCTTGACTGAGTTCAATCATTAACTTTAATTCTAACTGATGGAGAGTGATGAAACTTAGTGTATAGTTTCACTACCAAGTACTTCAAAACCTTTTCAAAACCTTGACTGAGTTTGATAGTGAGCTTTTTATGCTTAGTCCAAGTATAAGATAATCAGTTTGCTTGCTCAATACTTTTGAAGAAAGATAAATATGCTATTAATTAATATGTGTCATCTATTTATTTTGGAATTTTCTTGGGGGACATCAGCCCCACTGTTGGCTTGTTTTTGTATTTGTCAAATGATATTTATACATTTTGTCAAATGATATTTATACATTTTGTCAAATGATTTTAAGCTCCGATTCTTTACATTTTCTAATATCTACAGTGTTTCCATGAAAAGACACCTAAATCTTCATAAACATTTCTTTAACAACACAAATACAAGTCATGCCCATCCAATTTCGATTTTTAAAACATTTACATTTCTCCATCATCACTTGGGCATGTTCATATACAATTATTTAATAAACACTTCTCCAATGCATTTCTTCATCATGGAAAAACTAACATCACTGTAGAATGAAGCAAATGGCAATATGCATGATTTTATTATATACAGTGAGGGAAAGTCTGACAATCAAATGACTCTTGGACTTGAATTTTCAGTTGACTTATAAAGAACTGTGAACAAAGTTAATATTTTAAATGTAATGTCTTTTTTTCTTTACAGCATAGAGAGTTGATTTTTCTCAAGAAGAGCACATAAGTAATGTGCTGAACAGGTGAGCTTTAATTTAATTTTCTTTTCATGCAAGGGGGGTTGGATGGCCGAATGGTTAGCATGTGCGCGCTGTATCATAAAGCCTGTCATTGAGTCAACTGGCGTGGTTTTGATTCCCCGGTTGTACGTGACAAGGAGTAGGGTCGCCTGTCCAACCTCATGGGTTTTCTCCGGGTCCTCCGGTTTCCTCCCACTGCTAAAGACCCCTACGCGCAAGCAAATTATTGAAATAAAAGTAAACCATATGTTAGTCCTGAAATGACCTAGTTTGTGTCGAGTGGACGTTAAACCCCATTTCTCTCTCACTCTCTCTCTCTTTTCATGCAAAAATGCCTGGCCAGTGGAATACACCTGTCTATAAATTTTAATAGTTTTAACTATAGCCAAATAAAAATGGTACGGTAAGGATAACAAGAAATAAATTTACTCATAGAATTAACAAAAGATTGAAAATGTCCAGTTTGCAATGTTATTTTTTTATACACCCACATTCAAATGTTTTGTGTTGTTGTCCATTTTTTGTGGGCTTTAGACGATTGGTGTTTAATCTAGCCGATTAATTACGAAGTCAATAAACTTGCTTGTCGGCTACTCTACAACAATGTGTGGTTCATAATCCGAGTAATTAGCACACGTAACGGTAATTTTGATAATCGTGTAAAAAATTAAAACTAGCTTGCTGATTAATCGTAATAGGTCCAGTAAGCTGCTATTGTGATAAGCCACGTGGTGAATGAAGACAATCTCAGCATAGTTTGTGAATTTTTCCAACAGAATCTCCAATGACACGTGACATTGGTCGGAATTAGGTCAATAAACCAGTTTTAATATACGTTTTGATGATACGAAGAAACCTACTGAATTTTAACAGTTGCTGATAGCTTGGAAAGTTATCATCTGATTTCCGGTACATGTTTTGTATAATACATGTTGTCACTAGAAATAAGTACAAGCCAATTTTGATTATTTCTGATAATTATTTCATATTTGATACCCTTGTTGATCAATTGTTAGTGCTCTCATAATAGGACAAAATATGCAGCAAGATTTGTGGAAGACTCAAATGACTTCACTGCAGTGGGTGTTTGTTTTGTTGCTTTGCATCTTATATTTTTAAATGATGTCACTCCAAAACATACAGCATTTATTTATATAGTGTAAGTCTTCAATCCAAAGTAACAAGTTCAGAAATAACAACGGTATAGATAAGATCTTTTCAGAATATGGAATTCAGAATACATTATATAATATGCCAGATAGCTTTTCTAGTCGCAGTAAAATCAACATTCACACACTGTGGTAAAGCCATAAATGCTGAAGTTCAAAGAGAATGAATTTCTACATATTATATGATATATAACAGCCATAATTTGTTTTTTTTTGGGGGGGGGGGGGGAATATATGAACATTATTAAATCAAAAAAAAACTTTTATGTTGTTTTTTTAGACTATAATTTTTAAACATTTTACATTACATAATATGCTCCCAGTTTGGCTTTTTCAGATATATTTGTTTCTCCTAAAGAGTAGGCACATATATTTATACTTACATATAAAAGAAGGAACAAATTTATGCTGTGTGTGTGGAACATTGTGCATAACAAAAACAATATTATGAGAATAAATTATTAGAATAAATTATTGATTGTAGTCAATGACTGGCTTTTTCAAATAACACCAGGCAATCATGTGTTAAGCATAGAATTTAGATCTAACTGCAAACATTCAGATCGACTTAAGCGTTATTGATCATGATTTAAAGACAATTTATTCTCAGTTGATCTCAAATCAAAAGCTCATTTTATCCAAAATTTGAAATCGAGAATACTATTTAAATTGTGCAATATCACAGTTTATTAATGAGGAATGTATTTCTCTTAAAAACAGAAATATTCTTTCTATGATTTATTCAACAATGTTAAGAGATATTTTCTACACTTTTATTACGATACATGTATATGAACTTCAGCAAAATGATGTACAGCTTCATTAAGACAGCAATTAATGTACACACATGTACATCAAATAAGATACCATATGATGAATACATACATCTCATATTCGCCTGGCAAAATCATTCAACCATTTAATTTTTTGCTTCTACTTTTAATTTTCTACTTCTAGTCTCGCTTAATGGCGTGGAATAAGTTCAATTTCCAGTTCGAGACTTTGCAAGAGATTCAGATGTTTTGGACAAAACTATTGAAAGGTTAATGCAATGATTCTGCAATTACTACCTCTTAAAGATACAATTTGTAAGAATTAGATAAAGAACTGGCGGTTCTTGCTATAATAGTTCAAAAATAGATAATGCAAAATGAATATATTGAAAATTTCATTTAGATTATTTTTTTTCTGAGCCAAGTTATATCAATGTAGTTTTGACAAGATGTGTGCATTGATTAAATAATATCATAACCATGATACTGGTATAGTCAACGTTTAGTTTCACTTCCCAATTTTTATTCGCCCACATTGAAATGTGGGGTCATATTGTCCGGTCGAATATCCGATTGACTTTAAATTTCTACACGGTGTTAAAAGTCATGAGACAAGGAATCTTATTCATTTTCACTGATTTCCAATAATTACTGCCAGAGTTAAGGTCCTTGATCACTTTAAAATTTATACACAGTTTTTTAGGTATCAGATGAGGCAGCCTTTTGATTTTCAACGATTTCCGACAATTACTGCCAGAGTTATGGCCCTTGATCACTTTGAGAAATCTTTTGGACGATCGAGAGGCTAAATTTAATCCAATTGACTTTAAATTTATATACAGTGTTTAAGTTCATCAGGTCATGATTTTATAGTTATACACCGTGTTTACACCTATATGTAATCTTTCGATTGACACCATCAACAGCATGAATCCAGAGATTTACAATCATCCAGTTATAAATAATCACTACTAATGTTGTACAAAAAAAGTTAAAATAGTCAATCATGACTATCTATAATAATGGAAGAGTTGTGCCCCTTTCATCAATGTTCAACGGTAAATCACATTTGTTTAATGTTTTTTCATGCATGATTTTGAGCAGGAAATTTGATTCTCAAATTACTTAAAATTTGATAACTTTCTATAGCGATAGCTGAAACAATTCGAAATTTTTAAGGAAATGATGATTTTGGTAAAAAAATTACCTTATTTCTCAAATTGGTTGTTTCTCAATTAATTATTTGCTTTTAATGTAGAAAAATACTATAACGGGCAGAAAATATTTTCTAAGAGATTTGAGTGTGAAAAAATAGTGTAATACAGATGTGCTAATAATATGTAAGGATAAAGAGCCTTTTTTTCTGATTCAACAAAAACAGAAGTTATCAAGAAAGGTGTAAGGAATGGCACACAAATATCAGAATTTTATGGGGTTGTTTTAAAGCTAGATTTTTGTTAAAATCAATAAAGTTGTGAAGATAATTCCCTCTTAACTCATATATTTCCAGTTAAGAAAGAAGTCCTCTAGAGAATTTTACCATTTCGAATCAATAAATACTGGTATATGGTTTATTTAAACATACATTATGCAAGAGCTAAATCGGTGTATTTGCAGGCCCCGAGTTCACAAAGCATTCTCAGACTTAAGTTAAGAATTTACTCAAAATTGTTCACCTTATTTTAACTAAAATATAGCCCTTTATAAAACTTTTGTTGTTTTAATGTATCAAATACACCGATAAGAAACTATGTTCAAAGTTTTGTGTTTCTGGAGCAAAGATATTTCTCATAAACAGTGATTGAAAGTTGAGTAAATTCTTAAATTAAGTGTGAGAATGCTTTGTGAACTTGGAGCCAGGTCTTTGTTTGAGCCTGAAATGTTATATGAATTATTAATTAGACATTAATTAACCTATCCAGACCATAATCAACTCTAGATGGCATCGCTAGCCTGCGATCTATAGTGGATTATGAGCCGATTTACTGCATAACTGTCCTTCACGATTTATCGATTAAATGGATAATCGAGACTATGTTGTTTATCCTACTGACATTAGTAATGATGATCGAGGCTAGGCGGGAATTTCAGTCGCTTAGTTCTTGGTTCATAGTGGATCAATTTGAATGAAATTTTCAGCAAATTGCCTTTACATTATCTAGTTTTTAACTATTATAGTGAGAACTGCCAACTCGTTATCGAATCTCCCATAATGTATCTTTAAGAGTTATCTTAAAACACCTATGGTAAATGACTGTAAAAATATATAAGATGTGTAAACTTTTTCACATATAAAGCATGCACTTTGTGGAGGTAAACTGAGTGTATTGATGGCCACCTGTGTTTTTTAAATTTTATATTATGAATTTGACAAATAAATCGGAATACCTTCAAGAGTTATAAAAATAAGCATGTTAACCTATTTTGTGATATTTACATCAGATGTGTAATTTGAATGAATTGATTTCCAACTCATGATATTCAACTTTCGTGTCGGTTAATTGTTTAGTTTTTGGAGAACTGAAATTAAATACAATAGAGTTATTTCCCTTTATATACTTTTACATCAATTATAAATGCATGGAAGTATTTTTTTTATGGTAATCACAAAGTTAAAGCTTGGTATCTTGGTATTTGATGATGCTTCAAAATTGCATAGCTTTTACTTTGTATGAAATATATTTGTTAGGAAATTGTGTCTAGTTTTCAGGCAATGATGGGATGACTTTTGTTTAGGCTTATTGTCTGCATAATCTTTCACTATATTAATACAGACATCTTATTTATATTTGATGCTTTGTTTAATACATTTATAGTGATGGAACACGGATTGTAACAGAAATAAAGCATTTTTCATCCAAATTGATTGTAGTAGTAAAATGATAGATGTACAATCTCTAGAGCTCTCATTCTTATTGAGACAAATCTAGTAAAGGAAATTGAATGCTTGTGATAATACACTGAATGTTACAAATGATTATCAGTTAAATAGTGAACAATTGAAAGATTAATAATTTCATGCTTTTACATATTTGAAAAGCACATAGTGCACACATGTATA